TATCTTACATTTTTAACGTTTTTACTTCGACACGATATTTTGTGGCAAAAAGCGTATTTCGCGCGCGCACAATGCGCATTTTTTTTTCGCGTCGTATCTGTTACAGTTTTTTCGAGGTGACTTTTTTTTTTATTTCGTTATAATTCTTTACGTTCTGTCGCGGCCGGACCGAAAACTCACACGTGCGGCCAGCTTTTAAGGTGCTGCTGCTTCGGCCGAAGGATGCGATATACGTAATAAAATACGACGCGGCTCGAGCACTTAGCGCCTCAATGTAACGATACGCGGGGAGACCGCCGGAGACACCGACCGCGCCATAAACAGCCCGGCGATTTGACCGGCGCTCGAGAAATTAAGACATAATTTAGTGCCGCGCTCATTTACGTACCTCTTGCCGGGAAAAAGATAAACACAGCGCCGAATACGAGAGAGATGGCTCTCGCCGAGAAATTACGCGCGTCATTAAAAGGCTTACTTTACGCTGATTAAGCGTTCAACAGGGTTGCCGTGAGCGTACACACACGTGGCGTACACATGCGCGCTTTGCCGTGCATGAATATGGATGAGTAGTGGCGTGGTGCAACCGCGACGGAGAGAGTTACACGAGATGGGGAGCTCTGTCGATGTTCGCGCGGCGCGGGGAGTGGCTTATCGTGACTGATAATCGTCAGGAGGTTTCTCAGGCAAGGGCGGAAAAAAAGTGAAAGAGAGAGAGAGAGAGAAAGAAAGAGAGAAAGAGAGACAAGAGCGTGGTTGGAGCTAGTTTCTCATGCGACACAGTCGTTGTACGTATGTACGTGTATCCTCGCGCAGGACACGTAGGGATATGAAAGGTGCGCCGACCGGTCGGGCCGCATCGAGAAATATCCTTATCGTGTTGTAAGTATTCCGATCGGCGGAGTCACGCTTGCGTATAACTTGGAGAGAATACGACATGAATTTTTCCGCTCGGTCGCATGGCTTGCCGTAATAAGATTCAGAGCCGCTCGCGAGAGAACGCGAACTGCACCGACTAAACTCACAGTCGCCGCATACGATAATGGCGGGCGCATTAACGTATAAAATATGGGACGTACGGGATTCCGTCATAATTCTCGAGAACTTGGAATCCGAAGATTGTGGCGAAATCTCCTTCGGGTCACGGAAATGCAAATACGTTACGCCGATGTCTTTAGAAGTCACGGTGAGATAAATTACAGGATTGAGACGACGAGATTGGAAATTTTGCTCAATTCGATCCGATTATTTCGTTTTCCGAAAATGATTTGTAGAGGATCTCTCGCAGTGAGAGACAAGAGAGAGAGAGAGAGAGAGAGAGATTCGATCTTACAAAGGAACACGCGCGAATATCAGGAGTGCATATTGCGAAAGGAAGCGCGCTTCCACACTTTCGAGGATCATCGGGAAATGAACGCCGCACACGTTCAAGAATGTCGCTCAGCGACATAAACTTAACATAACATTTTTCAAGCACCGTCTCTTGAAGAGAGTAAAGCACCGCGACAGCAGCACAGAAGCCGTTGAAAACTCTTCATCTCTCTATCTCAGAAACTTAGTTGTGCACTCACTGCTAAAACGCTTGACGAAAACTGGCAAATAATTGAACGTGAACCAACACGTAATTTTTGCGATAAAAAAAGTGCAATGTAGTTTTTGTGCGCACGATGCGAAGCAGAGCAAACAATTTTTAAAAAACTCGTTGAAATCGTCCGTGTTTCAAATTCTGATTACGTCGCACTATTGCAAAACACAAACTCGCGAAAATAACACGAAAATTTGCGGGGAAAAAAAAAACATTAACAAATATAGATACTATTATCGTTGATTATTCATCCGTGGCTTTGAAAACATCAGTACCTATATTTATTGCGGATGTTTTGAAAGTATATACACACCTACAACCATACTATCGATTGCGAAACTACACGAAAAGTACATCTCGCTGCAAGGCTTAATCCATGTTTTATTCTCGTCGTGTGTATCGCATCATATAGTATTGGAAAATATACAAGTTGAAGTTAAAAGCTCTCCTTTTTTTTACACACGGTGCTATTACAACAATAATAAAAAAAAACAATTTTACATATCCAATAATTTTTCGAATCGCTAACTCATAATATACTTAACAACTTTTAACCCAATTGAATCTAAATAGTGAAAAGCTAGAAGATTAATTAAAATATAATTTTTAACGTGGAAAAAATACTTTTTTCCCATCTCGTATTTCCGTAAAAAATTATATTTTATTTATTATATATTTTTTTAAACGATAGTGATTTTTCAGTGGTACATATTTCTACTATTTTTTTTTTTATCATTTCAATATCTATAAAAGTAATAACATGATATGCGCTTTCGTTTATGACATATTTCACGAAAAAGAGAAGAGAATGCATTCCTACAATCGGAGAAAAAAACACGCGTGCGCAAAATTTTCGACGATTCAAGTAACTCTCAACGGTATCGAATAAAAAAGAACATTCTTATTGACAAAAACGAAACACATAAAAATTCGTAACGCGCACTCTTGTCGTTATCGGCGTAGAAGATTTCGTCTTTGAAATCGAACACTCGTTCGCACGTGTGCTTGCTCGAGAGCACAAAAAAAAAATGCAAATGCTCGAAACGCTAAAAGCCTCGCGTGTTTAAAGTCACGTGTCTCTTTTCTATCACTTTCTCTTCACCCCTATTCGTTACATCTCAATGCGCTCCAAGATAGATCGCCGAGTTCCGCGTGTCAATGTTACGACCACCCACAACTTTTACCGCCCTAATTCTTTCCCGTGTGATCGTCTACTCGAACACTTTCGACCCTTCGACTACCGTTCTACTAACTTCAGGAACAGTGGCTGATTCTCACTCAGCTGAAAATACGTGTGTGTGTGTGTGTGTGTCTGATTGCAAGTAGAATTCTATAAATCGAGAAGCACAAAATAGTTAAATACAAATAGTAATTAAAAATTAAATCCTTGCACACATATCCGATCCATAATAAATCGTATTTTCTTCTTTCAGAAAATAGAAATAGGAGGAAGTTGTTTTTGTTGACTAAGTTGCTTTGAATTTTTACAGTGACACACACACACAACACAAAAAACATACACGTGTGTATTTTCAATTTTTACGCCGTATTTAGAATCTCGTACAATCTACTTCCTTCATTGCATAGAAAGAAGCGAAATATCGATTCTGAGGAAACCGGAAACGTCACTTCTCGCGTCTTCCAAAATTGGCCAACGCGAGAAAATTTGCCGGGAGCTAAATCGGACGAAGCGAGTAATCACGCAAACACCAGATCTCGCACCGAAGAAATGAAGGAAAGACGAGAGCAACAGTGGTGTGGCTTCGGGCGTTTCTGGGAGATTTGACCGAAAACACACGGGGAGAGGGTGAAAGAGACCTGTAACCCTGTCGCCGCAGGGCCGATGTTGACTCCTCGAGAAAGAAAGTTTCGCAGCCCGAAGACAAACACCCTCCCTCGGCGCGAGTTTCGTCGTTTTTCTTGATAATCTTTTTGAGCAAATTTTAACGGCGTCTGTGGCAAAGTTGTGGGAAAAGATCACAACAGACAGCAATATCTAATTGGAATGTCTACGACGTCACTAACTAAACGTATCTGGGACGGCGAGATGTTTTATTAACAGAGTTTTTCCAGAGGTTTTAGGCAAATGTTTGGTTGTGAACGTGTGTGTGAACGTTTTAATTAAACGTGAAGGATAAATATAAAAAAAATGTATAAAACCACATATTATGTCACAAAACAAGCTTTTAATTAAGTGAGTTCTAGTGAGAAAAAACCGGATCAAATAATAAAGTTCGCATTTTTTAGTTTGTAATATAGAAAAAAAATACAAAAAAAAAACATCAATCTAGTAAGCTTTACATTTTATAGTAATTTTATAGTAATTTTTATTTGAATAATAATACAAACGAGAAATTGCTAATTTAATCACGTGCTCTCTCTCTCTCTCTCTCTCTCTCTCTCTCTCTCTCTCTCTCTCTCTCTCTCTCTCTCTNCTCTCTCTCTCTCTCTCTCTCTCTCTCTCTCTCTCTCTCTCTCTCTCTCTCTCTCTCTCTTTGTCTTTCTCTTTCACTCTCTTATTAACATCAATGTTTTTCTTTACACGAAGAGTTTGCGATAATGAAAAATATCATAATAATATGAAAAGTTTGATTAATTCTCGTTTGCGTGGGACAAAAAGTTAAAACAATAATCTGACGTTAATTAGTTTTCGAAGAGAATTTATTAAACGCAAAAATATGCACATATTTTCAATCGACAAAATTACTTTGATAATTTAATCTGTTACGATCTCAAAATTCATTGGAAATTAATTTCATTCATTTAATTAAATGATACGCGCCGCTTCGGAAAACCTGATCATGTAATATTACGATATCCAATCGTCTTCTAGAAAAGCCTAACCCTTAAACCTTTTTGGTAAATCCTTTTCTCATGTGAATCACTTATACACACTGTGAGTCATGAGAGTCCCGAGAATACGTAGTCGAATAGAAGGAAAAGGTGAGAATAGCGCGGGGTATCGAGTGTGGTAAGGGGTGAGAAAAGAGGAAGAAAAGAATGCTGAAAAGCGAGCGCGAAGGCCGTTAGAGAAATAGAGAGGGAAGCTTACGTTTATAGAGAGGGAGAGTCACAAGGGTGAATTGAATTCGACAAAATCTGAAATAGATGGCGAAGGCATCCGGGCGGACTTGCGGTTAATAGAATAGCCGTCGTCGAGTTCTCGTGCTTTGCGGAATGTTCCCGCCGTACGGGACGCCACTCTCGCGAAAGAGATAATTCAAGCGTTTCCAGCCACGTACTCGCGAAAACTATTCCGGTCTGTTCCACACACACACACACACATACACACACATACGTGACCGGCTGTGACCTACTTGTGTGTCGTGGACTCGATACAGAGAGACCACTCTTTCGCGAACAAATCGATGCAGTGACAGGCGTCTGAAAAATTCACTCCCGGCGGCATATGGTTCTCTGAAAATCCATAAAAGGACGAATGTTTCGCTGCCCGCGCGAAAAGAATCGCGCTCTGTATTTGTCTGACCTTACCGGGAGAACTGGTTTCTATAATAAAATATATTTTAGCCCGTTGTTGCTAGACGCGTCGTCCTTCCCGATAGGAAGTCGAACAAAATGTGCACGTGTCTTGTAAAACAAATCTAACAATATGTCTCTATCCTTTCCGTATTTTATAAAAATAAGTTTAAAAAAAAAATAAAACTTTTTTTTATGATTTTTGTATCCCTCTGCATCAAAAACTAGATTGTCTCATCAGTTGCTTATTAATAAATTTTTTTACTTGCAGTATAATCCTCTTGAATGTCTTCTGGATGTCCTTGTAATTTTTTTTTTCTTGTTTTCAACTAAAAGCACGGCGAAGGTTAGTAATTTGTATGTGTGATAGCATGCGCTTCTCAGGTGCCATAACTTCTAACCAATTTGGCGTTTCTTTGAAGTGCATATTGGGAGAGTCTTCGCTTTAAGTGGTTGCTCTCTCAAAGTGAACCGACTTGCCGGGAGATCTGTCAAGTGGCCGAGCTTTTAGAACGGAGATAGAAAATGGCAGGTTGCTCGAGATGTCGAGCGTGAATGCGTTTAAAGAGACAACGTCGCGATTAGAGCGCATAAGCAGTTGATAGCTTTTGTGAGAGATGCTCTTGATCGCGTTATTACCTCGTACGAACGTCAGTCTGTATTAAAAAGATTTTTATTCTTTTTTTGAAACGTAAAATAACAAATGTATGTAATAAAAATAAAATATTAACATAAACATTCGTTTCAACGAGAATCATATTTCAAAAAACGAAGAAGAAAAAGTCTTTAATAATTACAATATAACAAAAGAGTAAATTAAAGTAAGTTAAAAACTGCAATTATATACTTTCTTTGTTTCATTGAGTAATAAATCGAAAAAAATTTCTTAATAAATTATATTTATGTAATCGCCGTATTTAAACGCTCACGGATTGAGCTATGACGAGTGTCCTACGAGTTCAAATTAAACACACACCGACGCGTAAGAAATCACGTGTCGGGAATAATTCCGAAATGTGTCAGGTGCGTGATAATCACGTAGCGTCGTGTCAGCGACGTTAAAACCCGACTAAAGAAGTATATATGTATATAGATAGAAGAAATCCGGGATCGAAAAGCCGGCCGCGATAAAACGCATTAACTTCACCGGCACGATTATTTATAGCCATAATCGTTAATATAGAATCGCCGGCGTTCTTTCTTCCTCGCCTCGCACTCGCGCTGACCGGATTTGCGCAGCTGGCAATTTTTCAACGGCGATCCCCAAAACTTAATGGTGATATATCGCGAACAATCGGCTCGCGCACTTAACGCGCTCTATTCATTAGCCGCCGGTCTCGTCTCACCTTTCGTGAGGCGTTCTCGTCCTTTTATTTCGATAAACGGTGTTACTTACCGATGATGTATAATTAACGAGATATCCGGGCCGGGAATTGTTTGAAGGCTCGGCTGGCGCGTGTAATCCAATAGAATTCGCTGGCACATCTCGATGATGAATATTCGTAAAACACGAAAAGATCAATGTCGCCGCGACGAGCGCGAATTGAACAAGGAAAATCGAACGACTGAAAAGATCGAATCACTATATAGCTGTGTAACATATTTCATTTGTCTAAGGCTCAAAGGGCGTGATTGCCCATAGATAGACAAGTTAGCCTATCAGCGATTTACGCGTGCGAATGAATATTCGAGAGCCACGCGCGTATTGCGTGAGCCAGATACTACCGGCAGTCAGTCGTTTCGGAGCACTCGACGAAAACAACGAAAAACCACTAGTCATATTCGGAGCACGGTGGCTTCTCGTGGTTTCTACCGCACTCGAAATATAAATAGTAATTTGCGCATGCGAGAATTTGTCAGTTTATATTCAGTTACTGTTATTATTCATAAAAGCATGTTGCATTTTGATTATAAACAAGAAAGTGTTCAGTGCGCGTTTCTCAAAGTTAGTTCCTTCGCCCGCGGCTATTCCTTGCAGCTATGAGTCACAAAGACAACTTCTCCGCAGAAGTGTCGACAAGAAGAAATACAAAAATACACATGAAAGTGAGAAAGAGAGAAAAAGAGAGAGAGAGACAGAGAGAGAGAGAGAGAGAGAGAAAGAGAGAGAAAGTATGTACTTTGTGAAAAAATATATTCATTGTTTTAACAATAAGTAACAAGTCTGGAAAATGTAATATTCAAGTAAATTCTAAACATAAAAACTATAAGTAAAACTTCGTTAATTTTTATTTGTTTGCGCAGAACAAATATTTTATTTCATAAAAAACATTCGCTAAACTCATATTTATAATCTTAGTTTCTTAATATAAAAGAATATATTTATTTACATATATATATTATCCTATATTAAAAAGGCATTTGGACCGAGAAGTGCGCGTTTGGAGTCGAATATATCGCATCTATTGTTGCCTCTTTTCCGCGTTGCCGATTGATTGGTTGGTTGATCGAGTCGAATCGAATCGATAAGATCGAGAGAGTAAATAATGAAAAGCGATTTTGAGACAGTTCGTCGTATATGTAGAGAAAATTAAAAACGTAACTAAAGTCACGTGACAGGAAAGAGTAGAAAAACAACACGTGAAAATAACGTGACTGTATAATTTTCTATTATATATAACA